AACTGTGGTGATTCTATTTTGATCACTTTATGTGTAGGCTTGAGATCGACTTCCATCTCAACTGCTGTCAATTTGCGGTCACTCCGTAGTGTTCACGATCTCTCCGTGCTTGAGTAACTCGCGTAACTCCTCCGATGAACCGTTCACAGTAGGGCATGCAACGCTGCCCTGATCTTCCCCCTGATCGCGCCATTCCTAGTCACTCGAAGATTTTTGGTTAGGATGCTCATCCCAAATCCAACCTCCCACGGTATGATACAAATGGCGCCTAGCGGTAATTCACCTCGATATCTCGTTGGACTCCATTACATACCTCATTTGGATTCCAATCTCGCGTCGCTGGCGCGAGATTGGCCTTCGATCTGCCGTCTTCGTGTTGACCGAATCGGGTTGCAACCTGCGGGATATGGGTTCGAACATGGTCGTTCGATCTATCCTGTTTGTCTCATCTATCTGAACTTGGCCATACTGAAATAGGACGGCCTACTTGAGTGGTCGTGGACTGTACGTAGAGAATTGTGGATGGGTCGAGGACCCAGACTATAAGTGTTCTGGTGCTCTTCGTTCAGTACGTGGCTGCGATATTCACGTACTCTCTTAACGTGGCCGTGAAGCTACCATCCGGAACTCGGATTCCGAATGAATTCGTTGCATCAGAATTACGATTTTCCGACCTTTCCATGTTCTCGTGCATCCTTTGCGATGCGCCGACGAGGATTTGCACTCACGCAGACTTATCAGCTGCCAGCGAGTATCAAATTGTCGACCATACAGAGTCGGATACGAGAGTTGCCGATGATTGTTCGGTCGGACAAGACGATGATGCACAGGCGATTGACCTCCAACAAAATGATGGTGAGCTCACCTCGGCTTGTGGGAACCGCCTACAGAAGCTTGTCTCAGAACTTGTTAGAATCAAGCAGGAGGAGAATTTCAAGTTGTCATACGAGTCAGCAGTTTCAGCGCAAGAGGGAAATGACAGACACCCTTATGATGACGGGGACGCAGTAGCACACGAGGTGACTTTGGAGACTGTTAAAGTTGTCATGGATGATGAGGGGACCAACCAGCCGGTGGCTGTGATGGCCCGAGCGCCTCGAGTAGGGATTCTCATTGATGTTCCCTGCCCCTATAACTCCCCAGGATGTACGGCGTTGCGCCGCTCGCAGATCCTCCCTGCAGTACATGGCCGTACTACTAGTTGATAAGTATAACACAACGTACAGAATCATCATCATACTTTTGCTGGTGAGTGCATTCCAGGAACACGTCATCCTTGTATAACTGCATCTCCTGCTTAGTTGCTCCTCGCCTTTATCTGTGGCATCCAATGTTATGCCCAGTTTATTATCACGATACCGCCCTCAGCTGAGGAGCTGGATACCATTGCTCCTGAAACCCTCACGAACCCTCCCAACACTGCTTACGACTTTCGGGCCCCAAACGTTATAGAGGCTATCATTTTTGGGCCCATCGGACTGTTATCGTTGGTTCGAGCTGGTATGGTATTGAGAATGCTGTTACTCAGTAATGCAGCTAAATTGAAGCTTTTCCGGAGTGAATGTCGGGAAGCTGCCGAATACCAAGGGAGACCTCCTCAGACTATCAAAGAGCGAGTCGTACACACTTGGAATTTCTTGCGAAACAAATTCGATCTGAATGGAGATTGGTTCTGGTACGGCTACTCCGGTCTCCGCATTCTCGACGTTGTACTGCAAACTATCCACCTCGTCGAACTCGGCGGCCGATCCCTTACAGGAGAGGAAATTTATGCGAGTGAACGTATAGCTATCGTGACTCAGGCAACTCTAATTATGTTGGTATTCGTTGTTGGTCCGATCACGATTATACTCAACAACCGAGTCTGGGCTGCTCTCTTTGATGCCATCACGGCCTTCAGCTTCACGGCTGCTTATCTTATCATATCTGGTCACATACTTCTACCCGGTACTTGGCCAGCCTTGCACTTCCAAACCTTCATCTCTTTTCTGTCGACCATTT